ATTTAAAGTTAATTTTCAAAATTTCAAAATGTAAAATCTGCTTTTTTATCAGCCGAAGTATCTGAGGTGACGTTACCGTACTTAAATTTCTATTGAAAGCTTTGTAGTTAATATTGTTTTTAAACAAATTTTGAACGCAAAGAAAACATGAATTTTAGCCTTAGCCTTTCTTGCAAATCTATGTCGTGCTATAACCTTGCTTACTTTGGAATTTATATTTATGCAATATGGAAATATTTTGCGCTTTAAAGCGCAGAATGTGGCGTGCCTTCCGTGATGTACTTATTAAAGTGCAAAGTGTTAATTCTGTAATAGGAAACGAATTTCGTATCGATATTTGAAACATCGAGTCTTTTTATTACGATATTAATGGGTAGCCGATATTTTTTCAGCGATACTTTAAATGAGTACTATATCGATACTTTCAGTTCGATATCGTGTATCTACTTGTTATCACATAGTGTTTAGCGTTTTGGCCCTTAAAATTAAAAAAAAAATAAATAAATAAAATCATGTGGAGCTAAATTATAACTACATACTCAAAAATGCGAATATGTGGTAGATTTCAGACCTTTTGTGGTAGATGTAGTGGATGGTCCAAAAATTGGTAGATCTACCACAATGTGGTAGAAGTCCGATCACTGCAAATGGCACTTAATTTTTCAATTTGGCACAAAGTGCCAAAATGGCACTTTTGTAAAAAAAAATAACATTTCAATTCAGTTTTGTGAAATCCATTGCGTGCACTTCTTTTTTTCAACTAAAATTTTCTAATTTGTAAAGGCTATTCAACTGGTTTATCTTATTTTATCATTGCACTTCTGTTTTGAAAATGTGGCTTTATTTTATTGCCAAATGTGAATGATTAAAAGGCCAAAAAAAATGACACCTTTCTTGGCACTTTTATTTTTCTATTTGGCACATTTTGGCACTTTTTTTTTACTTTATATGGCAACGCATAACTAAGGATGGGTGGGGTTTAGTAGCGCTCACAACTGTTTCGGGCTATTCCGTTCAAAGGGGTGGTCCGATCCAAAAAAAATTCCACACACTTGTAGTCAAGGGTCTACGCATTATTTTAACACTCACTTTTGTGAATTTTGGTCACTAATTTATTTACAAATTGGGTTTGAAATATGCCCTTTTTGTAAAATTCGGAAATTAGCGTACATTTATCACTCCTATTTTCCTTAAAGCAGCCACTTAACCAATACATTTTTGTATTCCCCTTCACTTTACACTTTACTCGATTAGTTATAACTTGCTTTACGACTTTAATATTAACCAATTAATCACAATTCATTAAATAAAAACACCTTCAAAATCACGCGTCTGACTTTGGTTGCATATGCAAGTTAAATGGCGGAGTTCAGTTGTCAAACTCCAAAATATGCAAAAGAATGAGAGACAAAAGAAGACAGGATATAACCCAGTAAGCATTAAAACTATACAAAGCTGTTCTCTGAAAAGGTGTTCAGCTCCTTTTCTTCGCAAAACAGAAAGGAGAATTCTACTGCCTGAGGGTTATGATCCCTAAGTGCGGCCGAAAGCCGCCTACGCAGAAAGGTGTTCTCTGCAAAAGGTGTTCAGCCCCCCTTCTTTGGCAACACAGAAAGGAGAATTCTACTGCCTGAGGGTTATAATCCCTAAGTCCCCTTTCAGACACGTCAAGTCTTGAAAGCATTTTTTTTCGCATTCTCTTTTGTGTTTTCTATTTGCTTCCACATGCGTCAACTTTAATTGAATTCAAGTCCTTGGTTCTTAAATGGGAAGCAACGAAAAGATCAAAAGAGACAAGAAACTTGAAACGAATTGACGGTACGGAGGTATCTGTACTCTTCCCCTCTCTTCCCACCTCCTTCGCCAACGAACGAGCAGACTTGAAAGCAAGACTTGACGTCTCTGAAAGAGGACTACGTGCGGCCGAAGGCCGCCTACGCAGAAAGGTGTTATCTGTAAAAGGTGTTCAGCCCCCTTCTTTGGCAACACAGAAAGAAGAATTCTACTGCCTGAGGATTATAACCCCTAAGTGCGGCCGAAGGCTGCCTACGCAAAAAGGAGTTCTACGCAAAAATACATTTGTTAAAAAGAACATTTTTTTTATGAAAACTTGTTTTTTCTACTTTTAATTAACTTTTTTATTCTTTATTCAAATCGCCCGATATCTAATTTGGCATAATTTCTTTTATCAAAAAATCCCACGGTTTCTGTTAGTTGGGTCCTATTCCACTTCAAACTGCTCAGTTTGCCTAAGAAAATTCCGTTTTTCCCCCTTATTCAAACGGTTGCCTAGGGGCCTGCGGGAGGAGCCCAAGGGGGGCCTTCGCCTTTTTAGAAAGCGGGGACTGTCCTCTTTCTAGTGAGGGGAGTTTGAGGGGCCCGCCCCTTCCCCCTCCGCGCCCCACCCCAAAAACGATGTGAGCGCTACTAAACATTTCCCCTAAGGATAGTTGGCAGCCCTGATTGGAAGATTTCGCTGTGTTTTGGGGCAACAACTTGTCTGCAGTAAAAAGGCATATAATTTGTGTTTCAAAAGTGTGTGAAAACCAATCAATTAACTTATATGATCTCGGTTCCGATATTAAATAACCAATAATTGTTTATACCCGCATTTTGGCACATTGGCTCGTTGAATGTGCCATCTAACAAATAGTGTCGTCGTTCTCCTTAGCTGCTTTTAAATGATGTCATCACAAATTGCTAGCGGAGGCATGAATACAGTGTAAGAAAATTCTTTTCCTATAATTGTTTCCTTATAGAAGGTTGGTTTCTTTTCCACCTTAGATATTCCGAATTCGTTCAAAATATGTTCCTCCGGGGTTTTTGGACATGGACTGTTTCTTCAATTTAATAGTGTTCTCTTTATTTTTGTGGAAACGAAACATGTTTTGCAAGTTATGGATCATTTCTAAAGGGTGAACACACCAAAACTGCGACACTTAGAAATTACTACCAGAAACAAACTAGAAGGCTTTGCAATTATTTTTTTTTTGTATTATATAACTTGGAAGTTTAGATGTTATTAAAATGTTAAAATATTAGTTATTATTTGCTCCATATGCAAGTGATTGGTATTTTCATCGCACACGCGCCATCATGTTCTGCACGACTGCATCATCGACATTAGGCGATGCGCACAACTACTTTGTTTTGCACTCTTCAATAATTTTCACTCTTTCACCTGTTTTCTTCAAGATTCCTTTGACAATTGACCAATATTCCCCAATAGGACGTGGCTCTGGGCTATTGGGTGGATTGCAGTTGTGAGGTACAAAATTGATGTTGCATTATACCACGGCAATGTGTCCTTGGCATAGTGGCAGGTTGCCATGTCTGCCTAGAACGATGGCCTACTCCTTATCTGTTGATAAATGACAGAAGACGCCTTTTGAGGCACTCATCCCGATAAACTTGATCATTCATTGTCCCGGATGGGAAAAAGTGCAGCTCTTACGGCCGCAGGAACAAATAGCTTGCCAAACCATGTGGTTTTTGGAAATTTGGACTTCATTTTCAGCTTACAACTTTCAGGGGCATCTTGACGACTTGCAGCAGTATAAAAATCTTGACCTGCAATATATTTTGAATTCTTATAGCAGTAGGTTTCGCAGTCCATAACAATGCAGTTGTATTTTTTAATTTAGAATTCATACAACTTCCGAATGCGGGATTTCGCTGTAACATTCTACTTTGCGCCTCTGTCTGGCGCTGTTTGAGCTGTATAACATCTCAATGAAGCTTTCCGCTTTACCTTTTATACGAAAAACTGCATTCTCCGTACGGATTTTGCAACATAACGCGACAAAATCTTCGGATCTCGCGAAAACGCACTGAGGACCTTCCGAGCACTGTTTTTATCACTTTGACCATGCTAACCCCCGCTCCCTGGTTTTCTCGTAAATGTCAGGCCTTATTTGTACCGATTAAAACCCTGCAAACTGTCGAATAGTGCACTCTTTAATTTTTTAGCAATTTTACGTGTACTTATGGCCGGATCATTTATAAACTCGTGCAAAATGTTTTGTCTCGTTTCTAGCTCGGTTGCCATTTTTAACTCAACTAGGAATCAAATTCAAATGAAATTTCTTCTACGTTCATCTAAGGTCAACTTATGGTATTTGAATTTCAAAATATTGAAATCGTTTTGGGTAAGTTATAAGCTTCCCAAAGTGTCGCAGTTTTGGTGTGTTCACCCTTTACACTCTTTCTTCAAATATTTCTCGTATTCCAGCTGTGCGCAGGCGTTTACTTTTTCGCATCGTGTTTTTACATACTCGTAATTTAAATTTTTTAATAAAATCAATTGGTGGTAGTTCATGATTGTGTGTGGATTAATATCACAACACTGAGGAATTGGCAATAACCTTTTTCATCTATTAAAAAACAACACTTACGGGGCAATGTATATTGTAAGAACAAGATTTTTCTTTGAATCGACATACTTTAAGCATTGTTGACGCTATTTCCATTTGAATGAGGAAATAGCGTCAATGACTTTATTTCCAAATTTTTGTTGACTTTATTTCGCTTTTGAAAAGGTTATAATGTCAACTGACTTTATTTCGCACCAGGGTGGGAAATAAAGTCAATTGACCTTATTTCCATTGACCTTATTACCTGTCACCAAACGGAACTATACTGAACATATTTTCATGTTGTTTCGTGACTTTTTTTGTACCATCGTTTTACTTATCTTTATTCTTAATTATTTTTAGACACTGAAGAATATTTATAAAGGACTACACGTTTTCCCCTTTTTTTAACAGGATTTCTGGCAATGCTGCGAGTAATAAAAATATTCATGGCACCGTCTCTGAGCAACTTAAGAAGAACTTCGCCAAATCACGTTGGAAAGTGAGTATAAGTATATCATTTTAAGTAAAATAAGTAAAGAAGTCTAAGTTTGGGCGATGCCGAATGCTAAATACCCGGCGCACAGTGCCGCCTAATTGGGCAAAAATCTAAAAATTCGTTGTCTGCAATGTGAAGGTTTGGTACTTTTGTAAAAGTAATTTATCCACTAAACAGAATTAAGCAGAAATTCCGCTATTAAGTAAGTTATATACCGCCAGGAAGCCACTAAAGTTACGAATATTAAATTAAATATTAAAATTTAACCAAAATAGGAAATACAAAGCTTCACAAGCACGAACAATTTTACAAAATGGCAATACCGCTTAACAATATTTGTATATTTGTCACTGCTTTTTTATGGTTCGAAAATAAAAAATGAAAGCTAACAAATACTAGCACGCTCCTTTGCACGCTCTGCCACTTCTCCTTCTTTATTGGCGCTGTAACCAATTTTGGCCGAGTCCAAAGCAGCCCGCCAGTCACTTCTCTTCTGCGCCAACTGACGCCAATTGGAAATGCCAAGTGAAGCCAAGTCCGTCTCCACCTGGTCTTTCCGGCGCAGAGGAGGCCTTCCTCTTCTCCTGTTACCAACATCGCGGCCCGCGTTGAATACTTTCAAAACAGGAGCGTTTCTGTCCTTTGGAACGACATGGCCAGCGGAATTTTAATTCGCTGCACTATGTCTATATCGTTGTAAAGCTCATACAGCTCATCGTTAAATCGTCTGCTGTATTCGCCATCGCCAACGGGTAAAGGTCCGTAAATCTTTCGCAGAATCTTTTTCTCGCAATGTCCAACATCCGCTCATCAGATGTTTTCATTGCCATTCCTCCGAGCCATACAGGCATGATGAGTGACTTATAGAGTGTGATCTTTGTACGACGAGAGAGGACTTTACTTCTCAATTGCCTACTCAGTCCAAATAAGCACTTGTTAGCAAGTGTGATTCTCCGTTGGATTTCTGACATTATTATTGCTGTTAATTCTGGTTCGCAAATAAACGAAATCAAACTTGTAACTGTCAACAGTGACGTGGGTGCCAAGACGCGTATGCTGCGACTGTTTGTGTGGCAACAGGATTAACTTCGTTAACCACGGAATGATTCGTTTAGTTCAAAACTAATTTTGCATTGCTTCAAAAATAGAGGTCGAAAGTGTGTTGACACTCGAGAGGGAACATTAAAATCTACCTCAGCGAGAAGGGCCGGGCTATTAATCAAGCCTGTCATTAATTTTACCATAAATATTATACCTAGCATTTCTCTACGACTTGCGTGTGTAGGCAAATTTATGAGCTTTAGACGACTAGTGAAAGGGGGGGAGATTGTAGTCTGAATCCCAGTTAAAATCGCGCAACGCAAAAAGCAAGAATTGTTTTTGAATTGATTCAATCCTTTCTGAATGAACTTGGTAGCGGGGATTCCCAACAATAGACCCGTATTCTAGTATAGGTCTAACTAAAGTGGTAAAAAGAGCTTTTGTAACTTAAGGATCTTTGAACTCTTTTGACCATCGCTTTACAAATGCAGAAACACCTTTGGGTTTATTGGCTGTAACATTAATATCATGGTTGAAATTGAGTTTGGAATCCATTGTGATACCAACAGCGACAAAATTGGATACGTATGCGAAAAATAGACCCGCTATTTGGCGCTGCACAGTGGTCAATAAATGGGATTTAATGTTCATAATTCACTGGAGCCTTCATGTCTCAACCGATTTGATTAATTATTTTTT